TCTCTCAGCTCAGTTCATCTTCTGGATTGTGCTGGTCCAGCAAGCGCACATGGGTAAAGGGGAAATGGCCCTGCTTTCCCTTGCATTCACCCTCCCATTGCCCATTCACATTGATCTTGGTCACCTTCACCATGTCACCAACCTAAAAAAAGAAGAAGATCGAAACAGTTCAGAAAGCAACTTGTTAAAGCAAGAATCAAAAACACAAGAGAATTGGATTTGACACACCCTGGTTCTGTAATTGCAATGAAAGATGCACTAATTGAAAGGAATCAAAAACCCGCTGAAGACTCGTAATTCATACTATACTTGACACAGTTGAGTTGTTAACTTTATTAACTTCAAACTTCTGTCAATTTGAACAAACTTGGACAAGAGAGTAAAACAGACACATTCAAATCTGGGATTATCTTTGATTTTAAATCAAGGGAAAGAGATTTTATGCAACGTATAATTTAGATACAAATTTATAAATTATATGTTTTAATATCATCCTTAATTATTAACAAAGTTTCCTGCATTTAGCTCTATTGTCTTTTCACGTCACGGGTTTCCATTTATTTGCTACTTGTTGACCAATAACATCTCCAGCAAGTTTATAATGAAGTGTTTTGTTGTTGAAACATTCAGATTAGATATAAACACACGCATTCATTCATTATACAAGAAATGCCATCATCAGGCTACATTAAGAAAGCAAAAGAATTGACCACCCCCCGATAGTCCTTTCTTCAGTAATCAACGTCTTTTAACACAAATAAAATGTTTAAGTCATATTTTAGTAATTGGTTTTATTTTAGTTGAGTAATAGAATAGATTTAAGCAGCAGAAGAAATGTAAAAATGTATAATTTTATTATTGTTGGATTATTTTGGAAGTGCTCTGAAGCCAAATGAAAACTTAAAACAAAAAAAAATAAACATTATGAAATAATCATGGTTTATTTCATTATATATGCTACATAATATAATTGTTTTAAAAGGTCTTAAGATAATAATTCTGGCGCTGTTTGTGGAACAGACCTGCGACTCGATCACAGAGCTTATTCATACAGTAACAGTGTTCCAATGGGTCAATGCGGGGAGAGACTTCAAATGCACCAGTGACCAAATTGAATTATGACTGGATTTAAAATGAACACCAATCATTCGTCCAGTTTTAGTTTGCATCATTTGCTATTCGATCTTCCTTTAACTCTTTGCTGAGGAAGAAGTCAACGAAATTAACACTGCAGGAAACTCTGACCGAGTGAAGCTCCACCCCCAAACAAAAACCAAGTCAAAATTCACCATGTGGATACCACCATGAGGCAAAGGTGCATCACCACTTTAATTTTTATTTATATACATCTTCATTTGCACTTCATTGTCTTTTTTCCACTAAGAGCTATGTAATTTCAATATGTAATGTAGAGAATTGCTAACGAATTTCTCTTTGACGAGAATTTCTCAACTGGTTTCTAAGAGTCCAGTCTGCAGCCTTGTTCCTCTCCAAAGAACTCACAGCTCACCCATAAGCTTCAATTATCACCTCAGCAGCTGCAGTGCAACCTCATTTGTTGAAACGTGACTCTAGAAGCGAGCCAAGTTTTAGTTTAAATTCTAATATAACATTTAATACTTGTTTTTTTTGGGGAGTGGGATAGTACTTTTGAAAAGGCATTCTTTAAGACAGAGGTTCTTTAACCCTTAATGGACGTACATTCTGGAGTTGCGATGGTGGTGGTGTTCAATATAATCTGACAAATTTAGATATTGACTTCTACATCTGTGTTGGCTCAACTCTAAACTGAATCAATGCTGTATTATCCTTTACCTCCAAAGCAAGAGCAGTCTTATCATAGGCGTTGGGAACTCTCTTCTGAATCGCCCTGGCAAAAACCGGACCGTTCTGTAGATTGGGAAGGGACGTGGGCTGTGCGTACTGGCCTGGTTCCCCAAGCAGCGCTGGCGACTGAGCGCTGTGACCATCAGAGTTGCCAAATGCACTGGATCCTCCGGCTGACCCAGCAGGGGCCCCTGATGTTGGGGAGGCTGGTCGGTACTTCTCCACATAGGGCACAGGGATCATGCCAATACGGCCTTCTGAATTCTGAGCATTCCACCACTGCTCCTCTGGCTTCTCTAATACCCGTAGAATGTCGCCCTTTCGAAATGGAAGGTCCTCATCATCGTTTCCAGGGAAGTCAAAGAGTGCCCGGACATACTCTTCTTCCAGCCTTGGAGGAGCTCCTCCTGCACCTGCACTGACACTGATGAAGGATGAGTGCTTGGCTTTGCTAATGGGCTCAATGAGAGTGGTGGTGTCCAGGTAGTGGATCTTATAGAACTCCAGCAGGGCAGGTAAGGCATCAAACTCCTGATCTCCAATCCGGAACCGTGGGGGAATGAGTCCTATATGACAAAGCAAACGTGACGGAACTTTCAATTATATTAAATAATTACAGACTTAAAAGATTAAGAACTCTCAAACAAACATGTCTAATTTATAAATTTAACATCAACGTCAGAAATTGAACCTGGGTTTCCTTGCTCAAATGCAAATATGCCTCATGCCATTGGTCCTTGTCACTAAAGGAGAGCATTTTGCTACGTTATGAACGTTTGTGGTTGCATCCTTTTAGTTTGCTTTTTCTAATCTGTGTAGCTCCTCCCCTCTAATATCCTGTAACCTCTACCATTGGAATCTACGCATCAAGCAGTCCTAGGACCAGCCAGAAATCAGCAAGATGTCATGCTTTTCCCTCCAATAAGAGAAAAGTATCTCCTTGGCCAGACAATATATGGCGGTGAAAATATAGAGGGAAAAGAAATGGCCACCAGAAGTTACTGCCTTGGTGCTGAAATTTCAGATTCCGTTGTCAAACAGTTTAGCTTGGTTGTCCTTTGAACTGCGATATCGCTTTACGCCACATGTGTCAAACTCAAGGCCCACAAAGTTTTGAGTGTCTTAAAAAAAACAAAACAATAACATTAAAAAAAAACTTCATTCCCCACAATTCCTTTGGACTTAGTCAAAACTTTAGCGATGTGTTAGCAGAGAATTCATTGTAAATATAATCTTCATACTGTATATAAGAGCATAAGTGTCGTCTTAGAAGTAGTAGTAATAGGTTTATTAATGTTAGATTGTAGTGTTTTTTTTTACGGTGTTTCGGTCTGTGATTCGTCTTCCGCACTAGTGAAAGTGCGTCTTTTTTCCCTTATTTCCTCGCATTCTTCCGCCATTTTTGGCACACCAAAGTATTAGATTTCAGTGCCAAAACATTTGTAAATAGTGAAAGAAGATGTTTATACCATCATCGAGAGCCCCTGTGAGTTGTGAAACACAAACAGCAACAGTAGGGGGCGTGTCACCATCTCAATCCCAGTCATATGTAATAAAAGTTTTTATACTAGGGGTAGGGATGTCCCGAGCCGATCGTAAAGATCGGTATCGGGGCCGATCGAGGCATTTTTTAACTGATCGGAATCGGCTCTATGTATCGGACCGATCGAATGTTTACGTCAGCTACGTCAGTGTCGCAAACTCGCATGTTAAACTCGCATGTTGTTTACTACTTGCAATACGGTGCTAAGATGTCTGCAGTGTGGAAGTATTTTAAGTTGGAAAGTGATTCTAGTCTGGTAGCTACATGCAACGTTTGCAATGCGAGCATTTCACACGGTGGTACTAGCAAAGCAGCCTTTAATACTACCAACTTGATAAGGCATCTTAAAACGAAACACGACAGAATATTGCGACTTCACTGAGCGAACGCAGGAAAAGGCTAAACCATTTTATTGATGCACTGCTGAGCTATTTGGTTGTCAAGAGTACACACTGGATTGATTTAATAACCTGCATGCACTTAAAGTGTGCAATTAGCACAAGGAAAAGACAAGTATCGGATCGGGACTCGGTATGGGTCGATACTTAAAATTAAATGACTCGGATCGGATCGGGGGCTCAAAAAACCTGATCGGGACATCCCTATTTTATACACAGGGTTTATTCCCAACAATGTTTTTCAATATACCTATGGTGTAATTTTTGACATTATATAATATTACTTTAAAGCGGCTCTTAACTTTTTTTGTTGTTACACACTGAGAGCATTTCTAACATAAAAATAACAAATATTTGCAGATCTTGAAAGTTATATTTCCTCTGAAAAGAAAAATGGCTAAAAATGATACAAACACTATATTCTTGAAGTTCGGTTCATTCAACTAAGATGCACATGGTGTGACCAATGTCCTGTTTTTACTAAACTGGAATCCATTCCAAATGACCACAGGTATGTTTAAGCTGGCACGAGTTAGATGGGAAGTGGGAGTAATTTTGAGCAGGAGTGGGATGGGACCAGGAGTCAGTTCAGGAGCAGGACAGGATTTATTTTTACTCTGGTCCAGGATTGGGATGGGTTGGGATTTTTTCACTAGGAGTGGGATGGGACAGGAGTGAAAATCCACTCTTGTGTCATGCTCTAGTCCACATCTCTCACTGTGACAGTTTTATCCTTCATTAATGGAGTTATGTGGGTTTTCATAAGTTGACAAAAATCAAAAGGATTTATATTAGAACAACAAGCATACAATTGTTTCTATGCAACTGAATTGTCACTTGAATAAGTTATAAATAATGAGTTATTTAACATTAAGGAATAGTGACTTTTTTTTACATTACATTCGATTACATTCTTTTAAATTTATAAGTTACATCTGGCCTTTTGAGGACAGCCATTATGCTAATGTGGCCCTCTGTGAAAATGAGTTTGACACCCCTGCTTTACACGATGAGACTTGAGCCATGAAATTGGACAGAGACAAATCCGATATTTGAGCTATTTGATGACAATAGGAAGCAAATGTACATTTTTGGGATGTCAAAAAGGAGATTCGAAAGCACCTTTAGAGGAGTTATACATTGAATTTTCTTTAATTTTTAGACAACACGGTTTTGTGGGCAGGCTCAGGACTCCAACCATATTCGTAACCAGATATGATGAAATTCTCCACTGTTCACACTGTTGGTAGAGCATTGCACTAACAATGCAAAGGTTGTGGGTTCAAATCCCAGGGACAGCAAGAACTGACAGAAAAATATGTTCATTCAAATGAAAGTCGCTTTGGATAAAAGCGTCTGCCAAATGCATAAATGTAAAATGTAAATGTTCAGAAGTAGTGTCACATCCCTGCTTTTGAAAACAGGTATGAAGAAGGCAACCACTAATTGGTACTGAGTCAAGTTGAGCCATACCATTACAAAACAGGGTGGTGAAGAACACATAACAGACTGTTATATTTTTAACGCTCTAATTTGTTTAATTTGGTCTGGACCAAGAGAAACTACTGGTACATTGTTTGAATTATCTGAACTTTTAGGCATCATTCACAACAATCGCTTACGATGCACATTGCAAATGATGCTCGGATTCAAACTACTCTAACTTTGACCGCAAGCTGCCATGACACATGCCAACCCATAATGCCATGGGGAGTACGGTGGCTTGTTTTCATTTGTTTTTAGTTCAGATCATAGTTCGATCATGTTCTTACCACAAGAGTTCATTTGCAACTGTACCAAGATCACCTCCTTAAGCAGATCTCAAACCGCTTTTGTGTAAATGTTTTGTTCAGTTGTTGCTTTCTCACCTGCCTAAAGGAACTAAAAGGGAAAAACTCTAATTCGAATTAAAAGAACAAAACAAGTAAAGTGTGAAAGCACCATTAGGGTCTAGGGACCTTTGGAAAACAAAACGATGGCAAAAACTGTTAAAAAGTTAAACCGGCTATACAACACATCATATTCAATTAGAACAAACACCAATTAAAGTTTTACTGAAAAAAATAATAATAAAATAATTCAAGCCAGGTAACAATTTGATTAATATCAACCAATCAACTAACAGTATCTAAATAATACCTTCATTTTCTTAAATGAATATTTTTATGTTTGGTTCTTCGTGTATGATCACACATGCATAGTAACCTAAATTCCCCCTGAAGCTCACAGTAAGTAAAGGTTAACGAGGTGAAAATCAACCTGGATGTGCAGAACTATTCGCAGAGTAGCGCTAGCAATGCACAAGTTTCTTGCAAAGCTATTAGATAAAGCAGCGTTTACTCGCCTCCTCGTTGGTAGCATTTTTAACACGAGTTCAGATGCATTTACCTGGAGCAGACTGGCGATTGCTGCTGATGCTGTTTATTATGTAATGAGAGACTTTGGAGTTCTCCGACACAGACAGCACGTAGTCCCCGGGAATGGTGATCGAGTCCCGCACGAGGAATACTCCGTGCCGCTGCCCCTGCAGCAGTGAAACCGCCTCTTGTCGACTTAATCTCCCCCAATACCAGCTCCCTCGGTCCTCTGAATCAAAATTTCCGGCCATGACCAGCTCAAGAAAAAAGCCCAGGCTTCACAGGCCTTCCCTTCGCCTCTCCTTACCCACAAGCAGCGTTCAACTCATGCAAAAACTTTACCGCGTTCCGTTGTTGAACACGTTTCAAATACGGGCTGCATTCGCACTTTCCTACGCTTTTCTGCGACTACAGGACAATCAAACACACAACGGCGGAGTCCCAACAAGCATTAAACGGAAAAATCTCGATTAGCCGCCAAAGTATTATTATAAATATTCGTGATAAACCAAAACGAACATTGGAAGTTGTCACAAGGAAGTTCAAATATTTCAAATGGCGGACAAGGGAAACAATTTTTGACCTTATTTTCCGGAAGTGATGTAAAGATTTTAGTGGTTGTTACGTTCAGCCATGTTTGTACGGTCACTTTTTTTTCTTGTTTACGAAAATTCTTCTTTTTTTCTTCATTCGTACCAATGTAGCTATAGCTCGTGAAGTTAAAGATATGGTGTTTTATTATAAGCATAATGAGGACACACACATATATATATAATAATTTTATACATTATTTAGGCATACATGTAAGTGGAATGGTGAAAAAAAATAATTTTAAATAGAATGTAGTCATTCTTTAAAATAGAATAGTCATTGCCTGAATAGTTATTGCCTACTCACAATACTGGGGAAAATAGAAAAAAGTTAAGTGATTAAAACACTAAGATATATATATATATATATATATATAAGATATATATATAAGAGGGATGTGGCAGGGGTGTTGTGTGACAGAAGAGTGTCAGCAAGAATCAAAGGAAAGGTGTACAGAACAGTAATGAGAGCAGCGATGATGTATGGGTTGGAGACTGTGGCAGTGAGGAAGAGACAAGAGGCAGAGATAGAAGTAGCAGAGATGAGGATGTTGAGGTTGAGTTTAGGAGTGACGAGGATGGACAAGATTAGGAACGAGCACATCAGAGGGACAGCCAGATTGGTTGTTTTGGAGACAAAGTGAGAGAGGCCAGATTGAGATGGTTTGGACATGTGCAGAGGAGGGATGGTGGTTATACTGGTAGAAGGATGTTGGGGATGGAGATGCCAGGCAAGAGGTCAAGATGAAGGCCAAAGACGAGATATATGGATGTGTTGAGAGAGGACATGAAGTTCGTTTGTGCAAGAGTAGAGGATACTGAGGACAGTTATGTGGAAACAGATGATTCGCTGTGGCGACCCCTAAACTGGAAACAGCCGAAAGTAAAAGAAGATTTTCAAAACATTTTTTTTTCTTAAACAAACTTCCTTTATCATATTATAGTAAGTACTTTTTGCCCATATGCTTTCCTTGTCAGATTGTTTTCCCCTTGTTCTTAACCTTCTATTTCTGCAATGAAAAAAAGAATTTTTGAAACAAATAAATGGTTATTCATTTTAAAATAATTAATAATATATTCATACATTTTCCGACCCGCTTATTCCCTTTTTGGGGTCACAGGGGATCTGCTGGTGTCTATCTCTAGCACACATTGGGCGAGAGGCGGGGGTAAAATGACTTCTCAAATTCTTGTTTATTACTACAAAATGAGTGCGTGTGAGCCAGACTTGAGTGGAGTACAGAAACCGTGGCTGTTTGAAAGTCAGAAAGGGTGCTCAACCCGCACGTGGTGAAATTGCGGATTGTTCAGACCGCGGCTTGACACGTCCACGAAACTCCTCACTGATTGGCTAGGTTCCCCTGCATATTTAACAGGCCGTGTAACGCAACTGCGTCCGTGTGACCGAGTTTTCGTAACTTCCCTTTCAAAACGCAAAGTGGAAAAATTAAATGGAAAATCATCAGAATTAGCCCGTTTACTAAAATGAAATAAATCATACATGTTATAGACTACAACTGACAGAGACAAACATATACATGTTATTATCTCTAAAAAGTGTTTTGGGGTGTTGTGGAACTTTAAACATAAGTGACTCGTGTGACTGCAGACCACTGGCGTTCTGCTATAATAAATAAAAGTCATGCAAGAGCTACCGTGAAACCACTAGATGTCGCTCTTGACTTGTTCCCTTTAGCCATTTTTCAGACACAACTAGCAACACCACAACAAATTTAACTCGAAGTGTGCGTTTAAAACGCAGCAACTACAACGTTTGGGTGCTTTTCCCTTTTGTTTTGATCCAAATATTTATTGATCGACTCGAATACATTTCGTTTGATTAACAAACGATCAAAAACATGTATTGCTGTTCCTGTTTGTCATTCCAAGCATTCATTGCCCAACCACAATGACAAAGTTCTTGATAATGAGAGGCTCTATACACTTTGTAATTGAAATGTATTGTTTGTCTACAACATATGGCTTTGAAGCACAGCAGGAAGTAATGAAGAACATATTCATCAACTATAAGGAACAAATTCAGCTTAATGCTAAAACAACATTGAATTAGATACAGGCAAACACATGTAATATAGTCACACCGGTCAAATAATCAATGGCATAACAGAAAGTTACATTCCCAATAAAGCAATATCTACTTATAATCAACATATTTAGTTTTGTTACTCTTATTATAATACTTGAATCAATCATTCTATCAAATAACAACTTTGAAACCAAAAGATACGTGATCTTTAAAATCCAATCAAATAACATTGTATTATACAAATACACCATACTGGCAAAGATATTCAGTCACCCATGGAAATAACTGAATACAAATTTTCCAGTTATTTCATGGCCATGTGTGTATGAAATCAAGCAGCTATGGCAAACTGGCTGCATTTGTAAATGAATGGGCTCCTCTCGGGACTTCACTGGTCTCCAGAGTGGTTCTCTGATGGAATACATCAAGAGCAGTTGTGATAATTTCTCGCTGCTGAATATTTTACAGTGAACTGTCAGTTCAATCATAACAAAGTGAAAGTGACAAAAAAAACATGAAATAACGGAAAGGGGTTGGTGGATACTACTCAGAGTGTACAGGGGATACCAACTTTCTGCAGTCCACAGAACCACAAACTTCATGGGGTTTTCATAAACCCTGAAGAAAGGTGCACAGAGAGCTTCACATAATGGGTATGAGCAGCTACATCCAAACCATACATCATCAAGTGCAATGGGAACATGTGCATTAAATGTAGATGAACGAATACTTAGGGAAATATTGTGTATTTTTCTTTGTCTAAGTTCTATTTTTGCATCATTTTAGTTAACTCTGAAAATGTTCTGTTTTCCACAGGAAAAAAAACAGCATGAAATAAAATCACTGTCAAAATAAAACGTATGCAGATCAAGGCACTCTTGCGTCGTTTTAATCTATTTTCTCTAGTTATTTTTGCTATTGTGTGAAATTCAGTTTTTTTTTTATTTGGGTTCATATACAAGTAAAACGTACGTGAGTACGTATACATACATATTATATACAGCTATTCGCGCAAAACCAAAAAATAAAAAGACACAATATTTAAATTCTGAATAGATTGAAAGGATCAACCAGTCCATATTTTTACACTAATAAGAGTAATTAGCATTTGCCTGTAAATTTTCAGTTAGCAAATGTGAGCAAGTGACCGTTTCAGATTTGTTACTATTGTTCTTTATAACATTTGTTTGTTCTACTCTCTTTTTTGATATTCAGTGTTTTATAAAGTGACATTTAATCCTCTGTATCAAATTTCTGACCAATTAACTTCGAATAGACACGCCTGTGACCAATGGTCTTTAAACA